GCTGGATTTCTTCATTTGTAAATGGGTTTAATAATAATAATAATAAAGAATCAACTGCTGAATGTGACTGCTGGTGATCTTAAATGAGATAATATGCCTGAGATTATAGCTGGGAGATAGGTGGCTTGGTGGTTAAGAGCATTGATTGCTTTTGCAGAGGACCTGGGTTCAGTTCTCAGCACCTACATGATAGGTAACAGTGGTATTTCTAGTTCCAGAGAATTGAACACTCTCTTCTGACTTCTGCTGGCATTACACACTGTGCACAGACATGTACAGGGAGAACAACCATATCCATAAAATAAAAGTAAATGTGTCTTTATAAAAAATATGCCTGAGGTCTCCTACACACCTTAGAAGCTCTAAGAGTCCAGTGGCTACTCCTTATCTCCTCTGATTCCCGTATCCTACACTGTTGCTGCACAGACCCCAGACTCCTGCTTCCTAGAATGCTTTCAGAATTTGCTTTTGGGTGCACTTGGCATGCCAACCCTTCAGTTTTGTGCTGCCATTAAGGTCTGTGCCTACAAAAGTCTGATGTTAGTGGTTTTCATCTTTAAATCCCAACCTTAAGGGGTTTTGGTGGGTTGGCCAAGGCTGTACCCACCTGCATCTTCCCCAAATGTTGGAAGCGCACATCACTGTCTCCAGTTGGGGTCTTCTCTCACCCCACAAACTCAGCCAGGACGGGGTGGCTGTTGTTCCGTCAGTGTTGTCAGAGGCACAGGCAGGCTCGTCTTAGTTGCCTCCTAAGCTGCAAAGTTTCTCAGTGGAGGGGGGGGACATAGCTCCTGTCCTGCGAGACTAGAGCCTGAGCCTGACAGATCACACGCTGCTGTGAGTGGGACACCGGATATTCCAGCCACAGGTAGCCTGACACCAGGGCTTCTCTCTGGGTTCTCTTTCAGTGTGTGTGTGTGTGTGTGTGTGTGTAAGACACACACACCACTGTAAACACTTACCTGGAATGATGTCTTGGTCCCCAAGGCATTCTTGATAGATCCACATCTAGCTCTTCAAGGAAGCTTCTACTAAAGACATCTGAATATCCTTACTCCATCACAGGTGTCCTACACTAGCATCTCCGTCACAGGTGTCCTACACTAGCATCTCCGTCACAGATGTCCTACACTAGCATCTCCGTGGATGTGGCCTAAGAAAGTGTATGTGCTTTTCAAAGTTTCCCTGGTAAATCTGACCAGTCCCTTGGACAAAAGTGAATTACATCTTTGATGACAGAAACTTGAAACTGTAGGAACCTCTGATACCACAAGGTTTCACACACACACACACACACACACACACACACACCACACACACACACATGCTCATTTATCATAGAAACTTATAAAGCACAATTTTAACGACAGTTGGCTTGAATTGTCTTCTGCGGGATTTTTCACTGTTAGAAGTATTTAACTTCATGAGTCGAGCCAAGGTATTAGCAATCCTTCACAACCAGTTTCTACCATTATTTCAGACAGACGCAGTATGTAATTTGCCTAGCTTTGCTCGGAGTTTGAGTCACTCATTCACCCACATCTATCCCGTTCTCTTATAACTAATAAGGACGTCAACACAGTCTTTTGTGTTGTGTAAAGTTCTCTGGAACTCTCCACTAATTCATTTCCCCACAATATCCCCTAGAAAACCTACAACCAGGGGGATCAGAGACTCAGAGTTTAGAGGGGGCACGGAGGTTTTGTGCTGGGTGTTTTGGATCTAGAATAGGCTTAACTCTCCCACATCTCAGTGTGCCGGCCTTGCTTAGCCCTTCTCTTGCTGGCAGTCTAAGAAATAGTGGCGATAAATGGCCATATCCCAGACTTAAGCACATTGGAGTGATTGCACTATCCTGTAACTAAGACCAGAAAAACTCTCGACTGGTGTGAGGTCACTGAGGGGTGGCAGGTGCCATTTCACTCATGTGCAAACAGTCACCTGTGTAGCAGTTCTTGGCTGGGAACCACTAAAGCCCCATCTCAAAACACGTACATACAAGCTCGCTTTTAAACCCAATACTCTGGTTTTGACTTCAAAACAAAATGGCTATCCCTAGACCTCTACTATATGATAATATGTACATAAATATCCTGGCATCAGAATACTATCAGAAACCATTGTTTCTCAATTTAAAATACAAGACCCTAGCCATCCAGTAGAGACTCTGGATCCATTGGGCTGGGAAAAGCCTATGACTCTGCATTTCAACACACTACACCCCACCTTGGTTCTGGTGTAGGTGGAACAGACTTTGAAGATGTTGCTCCAGAGGTTTTGAGAGTTTACAGGGGTCTCCTAACTCAGGGAAGCTCCTGCCTTCTTGTAAAACATAACAGGTGGAGGCTGGTTGCCAGGGGACATGCTTTGAGGAGTTTCTTCAGTGACAGGAACAAAGTCCTCTAATTGGCTTTGAGGGTGGGTCTGCTGAGCGGTGCAGAAGAGCCCAGAGTGTGAGATGAACAGTGTGCAGAGAGTGGGGCTCCTCAGTGAGAAGGCTTTAGGGAAGGGAGGGGAACTTGAGTGACGGGCAGGAGAAAGTGGATGGGAATTAACCGGAACTTCTTGGAATGGACTTTGATCTCGAGGACAGTTGGCTGCTGGATTCCACGAAACAATACACTGCAGCTATTGTCAACTTGAACTTTTGCCTACATAAATAAGGCATCTGGGTCAAGTTTTCTACAGCTTCTTAATCTTGTTTACTCTTTTTGTGACGACTTTGCTGAGACATAATCCACATATCGTGTATACAACGTGTTCATTTAAACAAAGAATATAACTCAATGTTTTTCACTTGTTCAGACTTGTGCAATAGTCACCACAGTCAATTGTAGAATATTTTATCACCTTGAAAACAATAACAACAAAACAAAAACCCTCCATACTCATTAACTATTCCCCCCGCACACACACACAATCTCTCCATTTCCCAAGCACTCAACAACCACAATGCACAAAGCAAATCTCTATGGATTTGTTTGCTGTTGACATTCTGTCGAAATGGAATTGTATAGTATGTGCATTCTGTGGCTGGCCTTTAACTTAGCCTGTTTCCATGGTCCATCCACATAGTAGTACACATGAATACTTCATTCCACTGGGTGGGTACCCCGTGTTTTAGCCGTATGTTCATCTAGTTGACTTACTGATGGGTCGCTCCCAACCATCTTCCCGCTATGGAAGATTATAGAACAATTTGTGTACACATCTGATGTAGATTGTGTTAACAAGTGTCACTTTTGGAGAAAGTCCCTACCCTGTAAGGAGGGTTCAGTTTCCTCCCCTGCTTTCCCCCTGCCCATCCCTCAAGTTCCATTCCCTGTCTGTTTGACTATTATCTTCTACACCAAGCTGGACTCAGTGGCCCTGAATCGCTGTTGTAAGAGATCTGTTTCCTACAGCTCAGTCAAGTATGACCGAATACTTAAGCAGGTGGTGGCATGAAGTTTGAAGAGTCAAGCTCTGGTTACAGGAATCTTAAGCACAAATACCGAAGGACAATAATTGGTGCAACTTTAAAGGTTGGGACAATTTATCTAGATTTGTGCTTCTGGAAACAAGAACAAGACATTCACAGCCGTACATGTTGATAACAACAGCAGAGTTGGGGTGGGGAAAGGAAACAGAACAGTAAGTTCCAGGGAGGTCCTGTGACCTTCTAATGCGTAGATCTGGTGGATAAAAACCATCTATGGATTTTACTTGTCTTTGCTACTGTGTGTTTCTACATAGAGAAAACACTAGAAACGTTGGACATTTACAGTCCTTTAGGTCAATCCTTTAATATAAAAACACAGAGAAGCAGAAAGACCCCAAGTGTAATCATATGGACTTTCATAGTGACCTTTACTGTGTAATTAGCACTGGCATTAAAAAGTGGATTGTCACCAGCACCTCCCCCAACTTTGTCCTAGTCATAAGTATCCCCAAGGGAAGGAGGGTATCCTGACTTCTAACGCAAACATTCTTAGACACAAGGAATGCATTTTTAATGGCATGGTTCAGGTGTCAGGCTCTGGCCAATAGAATAGATTTATTTAGCTGAGAGAATGTCTGAACACTCAAGTAGACATACTGTATTGCAGGGTGTCATTCAGCCTTAAGAATTAAATACTTTTAAGCTTGTGTTTAAAATAAAAGTTATAGCCACAGCACTGAAGAGGCTTAACTCGTCTTCACCACCTTAAGAGCATCTATTGGAGGTTTTTGTTTTTAAGTACAGGAGACATCAGATTTTCAGTGTTCATTTAAAAACAAAACAAAAGCCAAACTACTTCCCCTCACACTCCCCAATCCTTGAAGTTTATTCCTGGCAACAGTCTGAAAGGAAGTCCCAGGTACTATTAAACACAGGTGGCTTAATGATTTAAAAAGTGTGTGTGTAAACACCTACACATTGGTAATACATCACATTGTGTGACATAATGTTCAACATAAATGCAGCCTTCTCAAGCAGAGCACACAGACAAACCTGCATTTCTCTTGTTTTACTGAGCAGGAGGGCATTAGATTCCCTCACCTTTCCAGTAAGTCAAGCTTTCAGATGGCTGCAAACCGACACTGCTCTGGTTCTTACTTGGAAGAGAAGTTCATTATCACCATCTTACCTAGGATACATTAGACGTCTAGACATTCTATTAGGGGAAACTTTTGTGCAAAGGTGAATAATTGCTTTTTCCTCAAAGCTCGATAAATATATTATAAATTACCAAGGCAGATTAAGATTTCATTAAACCATTTCCTGCGAAGTTTGGGTGTCTGTGCTCTATCAGGTGATGCCAATTAGCTCCGCGTCAAAGCTAAAAGGATGGAGTTTGTCACCCCCTGCCAACTGCACAGGGCCTCCCTGGGCTCTTTCCATTGTGAATGCTGAGTAGTGACTCCCAAGGTAATCTGGCCTTGCCACTATTGTTCCCACTCTGGTGCTGGGAAAGCACCCTGTTCCCTCCCGGCAGAACTGCCGCGACAGAACCGGGAATTCTCCGTAGAAGTCATAGATGCAGGTTGCATTCCCGGGCGGTAATGTTCAGCGAGTGTCCTCTTCCCCGGCTAGGACCTTTTCCCGTCGGGTCGCCCACAGCCCCTCCTCCGGGCGTGGGGGAGGAGAAGAATCACAGGGGACTCCCTTCCTATTTAAAGGTCGCCTGGTCCCTCAGAGGGACCTCGGTCCACGACGGTCCCTCGGTGCCGCGGTTGGTGACACCTCTAGCTGCTGGGGGCAGGGGCGTTCCTGGACACTTCTCCCCGGTGACCCCAAGGCGGTGGCGCACTTGTCACCGTGGGTGACCGAGAGGGGACGGCGGGGGGCGGGCCCCGCGGGGCAGGTGGGCGCGGCCGGCGCTGGCCGCCGCAGCAAGTGGTTGGGCCGTGCGCAGTCCATCCTGCGCGGCGCCGGCGCGGGTGCCCGGTGCGCGGCGCCCTCCGCTCCGCTGCGCCGCCCGCCCGCCGCGCGCCCA